CATCCACACCCACAGCTAAAATGAAACTCACTTAGAGGCGACTCACGATGCATAACTAGTCTGTCAACAAAGTCTATGAATTTCTCCTCTAACTCCCCCATCACATCATGATAGCAATCATCAGATTCATCGCCTCTAAACCTTCTAGTATTAACAAGCTCATAATCATCAAGGTCAATTTTGGGAAGATCCAAGAAAATGTACCTCCATCTAGTGGATAAAATGGAAGTGGAGGCTGCCTCTTTGGTCCGAAGAAATGAGAGAATGTTGAAGAGTATGTGGTCTGGCAAGGCACTGAATCGATCTTCTTTACAATTATCATCTGCGCTTGCTGGGGAAAGATTGGCCTTGATGGGCTCCGTTCTCATGGCTGATTTTTCGGATGGGTTTTGATCATGTTGGGGAAAGAAGCTAGCTTTCAAGCATTTGGGGTTTCGTTCTGCCATGGCGCTGGAGTGATGGACTTACTTGTAGTTTTTCAGAAGATCCGCCATGGAAGCAGGGTTTCAGGGGTTCTGGGATTTTGCAAGGAAGGGAGGGTGACTTTGGCCACTGGCTACTGTACTTTAGCTGCCAAGTGACGAAAGCAAAACAATAGGAATCACTGTGGTGCAAAGCTGAGTCATCTATGCAAATCATTTTTGGCCACTGGCTACTGTACTTTAGCTGCCAAGTGACGAAAGCCAACAAAAGGGTGCATCTATGGTGCAGAGTTGAGTAGGGCGTAACTGAAACAAGTTAAATCAAACATTCTAATCTTCGAACTTGTTTGATTATTTACATTTAAAATTTAACTTATTTATTTACTAAATAGACATTGAACGAGATTTTTATTAAATATTATTGAATATAAAATAATTTTAATTAATTTTAATTTAACTAATTATCAAATTAAGTTCAAACGAACTCAAATGCTATTCAATTTTGATTGAATCAGATAATAAATTAAACTCAAATGAATTCTTGCTAAGTCGAACTTGACGTGAGTACGTAAATAATTTAGTTCATTTCTCATTTCTAGAGCTGAGTCATTTGTGCATAGGAAGAAAATTAAAGGAAGAGGAAAACACGTCACTAAGGGCGCTGCATATAACCGGTGTTGTACAAGGGGCCCACAGTGTTTGAGCCATTGTATTACGGGGAATCAATGTAGGCCCCAATACGATTCGTGGGCGTTTTCCAAACACCTAAGAATTTAATTCATAAATTAGCTCTTGGAGACCTATGTTTTCAGACTCGGATCGGGTATCGACTCGGCCGAGCTTAAGGATCAAGGGTCAATAGGTTCGATCGGGGTTGAACTGGATAATGTCATAAATAAAAATTATTTAAAAATTAAAATATTGTATATAAAATACCTAAAAGTATGTTAATATTAATAAAGATATATTCATATATATTTGATATTTCAAATATATTTAACAAGAAAATACAAAGAAATCAGAATGATCAAGTAGCAATTTATATTATTTAATGAACATTAACCAGTTTAGAATTAAAATTATGGATTTGATTGAAAAATAACATCATACTTTAGGATAACATTTATAAAGTATGAAATATTTGAGATATATTAATAAGTTTTAACAATTTAGGGGTCAAAACATAATATTGAAAAAGTTTGACCTTTTTTAAAAAAATGCTCTGATTGAACCGATTTTTTTCGATCAAACCCGGGTTTTGACCGGATTTGACAGGGTTTTTAGTCTTCCGGTTTTGAAGAACAATTCGAACCGAACACTTGGCCAATTTTCGATTTGATCGGTTGGACCGGCGGGTCCGATCCAAGGTTAAAAACACAGTTGGAGGCCAATTTTTTTTTTAATAACCCAGAGACCAAATTGGCGCCCAATAAATTAGGAATGATGGGATGAAAAAGAATTTTTCAAAAAATATAATTACTTGAGGGTACGTGGATGTGCAAAAATAAATAGTTGAATCGAAGTTGGAATAAACCAGGAGATAAATAACTATTTATATGGAACTGAAACTTGTATAAATTATAAAATGCAATACGTAAATTATTTTGTAAAACTGATATGCATGACGACAAATCAACATTCTTAAGTTGTAAAGGTGTACTTAACGACAGAGATGGACTAGAGAATTATGATGGTTTAAGTATAATTGTTAGTTGTCATAAATGTAAGTGACAAAGTGATCTTCAAACCAAAATCGAAAATCGTAAATGAGTAATTATAAATATAATTGACAAAGTGACTTTCAAACCGAAATTGAAACTGTGGGTGAGTAATCACAAACACAATTGACAAGTGAATTTTAAACTCTAATCGAGATTGTAGATGAGTAATCATAAGCATAATTGACATAGTAGATTTCACGTTAATTAATTTTCTTTTAAATGAGTGATCCATGTTCCATGAGTCCTTAAACTAGTCGTGAGGTTAGTAGGTTATTTTCTGATTTTTTGAAATTTTTTTACAATTTCATTGCACAGCATGTGACAGCAGGTGAGTTTTTTGAGTAGGAATTTAAAAAAAAAAAAATTCATCATGTGCACAAAATGTGCTTAAATATTATAATATTGGATACCAAATTTATTTTCATCCAAAATTTAGGTATTAAAATTACTCAATGGTCCAAGTTTGGATACCAAAACCGCATTTTACTCTTTTCAGTGAAATGCATTTTACTCTTTCAAAAATTTTTCTAACTTACCACGTGAAGACAATCACACTCATTAACCAAACCTTTTAACGTAACTTACTAATCTCCCCATTAATTGACACTTCTGTTGATTGTGGGTGGGTGCCATGTGGACCCACGTCTCCATGACAACTGAAATTTGAGATAAACTAATAAGTAAACCTCCATTTTAGGTGTCTCATGCTTTTCGTTCACCTTGGCCCCAAAAACATTAGACACAAATACTTGATTTTATCCGACAAATATCTACTATTTTAGCCATTTAACAACATAGTAATATATATAAGGCTAATTACTTAGAATATAGGTTAAAAAAAGAAAAGTCAGACACTTATTGGTCAGACACAGGGTGCGTACAAATCTTTGGGTGCCGGGATGACACAGCCTGGCACCTGACAGCAAAAATTTTTTTTTAAAAAAAATATGGCAAACGTCAGCCCGGCACCTAACATCGAAATTTTTTTTAAAAAAGATGGCAGGTTCCGGGCTGACACAAAAAAATTGTCAGGTGCCGGGCTATGTCAACCCGGTACCTGACCGGATTTTTTCCCGGCCTCTGTTAGCCGGCAGCGCATAAAAAACCAAAAAAAAAAAAAAAAAGTGTAATTGAATAGCTATATAAGTTGACCAACAAAAAGGCTGTCCGCAAGTAACAAAAAATTCTTAGCGTACGTTAACAATAATAACACCTCGTGACTCCAACTTTCGCACTACAGAATTCCTAGTCTTGAAACAAAATTCAGCACTTAGGGTTTTTTGGTGAACCCACAGGGGAAATAACAGCAGAGGGTGGCAAGGGAGGAATATGAATGGTTCAGGGTAACTCTTAACATCCGCGAGAGTCGAGTAACTCTCTGAAAAGGGGCTCAACTTTTGGACAATGAAAAAATAATATCACGAAAAAGTATTAGAAGCATTTGTTAAGGGTGCGGAGCAACTTTAAAGTGATGGTTTTTAGTCTTGTTAGGTCATTGGACATTGAAGATCATGAATCCATGATCAGGCAGGAGGACGCTACTTTTGATGATTTGGACCTATTACAAATTGAGCATAAGAAATAGGCGTCAATCATAATTATTTTCCTTAAAATATATATCATTTTTCACTTTAGCTCCTAACAACTTTTTTGTCTCGCTTTATCCTGCATTGGACACAATTATACCTATACTATTGTAAACTCTTTTTTCTCTGGCATTTTTTTCTTCCCCTTTTGTGCTCTTATATTTTCTTTGCCACTTTATTGTTTCTTTAAATCTTCTTCTTTTTCACAAAAATTTTCATCTTAATGATTGAAATTGAAAAAGAAGAATTGTAGAGTTCTATCTTTTCCTTAAATGATTAAAAAAATACTCAAATCACTTTGCTTAAAATACAATTATCTAGTATTCATATTCTTTTAATTTTGAATTTTCCTCTTTCCTTTATAGTTTCTCATTTTATTCTCAAGAAAATATCGTAAGATGAAATTGTGATATGATTAGTAATTATCAATTGTAATTTGTGACAGGTGGCATCAAACAAAAGATCAAAATTAGTTTTAATGCCTTTTAAATCTGAACCCAGAAATGCAATTACAAAATGAAAATAAAAATTTTTATTAAGATGAATTTTTGTATTGTAAAGGATGAAAGATAGAAGAAAGAGAAAAAAGAATAAAATAGATGAAAAAAGGAAGGGTAATTGAAGGTAAAAGGAAAAAGGTAAATGAAAAATCAAAATATGGGAAGAGTTATTTCATTGTATAGGGGGTTAAGTGAGCAAAAATAAAAATTACGAGGGTAAAGTGAGAAATGAGATATATGTTATTGGAATTAATTGTAATTAACTGTAACATTTTAGATTTTGTATTCATTCTCGTGTTGGTACTTGTATTGAATTTCTGCACTTTACCAATGGAACATAATGCATACTAATAGAACATCTATTTAAGTTCTGAATTTTTTTCCTAGTTTGTATTGTGAGGATAATGTCATAAATCTCCTATACAAAAAAAAAATCAAAAAACCAAAACAAGAAAAAAAAGTTTAATAAAAAACTAGCTCGACCTGAAGTACTAAATCTGACAGTCTTTTAAGTTAATTAATTTACATTTCAAAGTTGAAACGTAAGAAAAAGATGAAAATAGATTTGTGCAAAATCACTAATAACTCCTATAGGATGTTAAACTAAGAAAAGGTTTTTCAAACAAAATATCCCATTCATTTTGTAATAAGATGCAGTTGTCAAATTGCTGAAAAATAATTTGTTAGAATTATTATGTAATTTTTAATGTTTACTATAATTTTATAAATATAAATTTATTGTGCAATATAAAAAGAAAAAAGGACCGAAAAAAGAAGAAAAAATGCATAACGTGACATGGTGAAATGGTTAAGTATAAATATAACGATAAGCATTCAAATAATAAAAGGTTAAAATAACGCTAAATCTCCATATTAAAATATTTGATATTTAACAAACATGTACTGAAAATGATCATATCAACGCCCGATGTGCCTTTTGCCCTTGCCCTTGCCTCTATCACCGGTGCCCCTTTTGCCCTTGCCTTTATCATTTCCTTAGCCATACATATGCCTCCGTATTTAGGGAGAAAATCACATTCATGAAGTTCTCATACCTACGTGTCTAATTCGCCACACTAGCGCCGAACATCAGGCTTTTAAGTCCAATAGACATCGTAAAATAACATCAAAAGGGAATTAATTTACCTATGATCGGTGGAACATGAAAATATATTTAATTTTTAAGGGTTAAGAGACAATTTACCTTTCATTCTTGAATTTTTGTGTGAAATTGCTCCGAATATGAATCAAACAGAATCGGTGCACCCCTAATGGCTCCTGCCACTCTTCGAGTGTACGCATTGCATTAATGATGCCATGGTGACGATCAGATATAATACATATATTCTGCACATCACCACACACGTGAATGCGTAATAGTCTCATGAACCAAGGCCAATTCCGATTATTCTCCTTATCAACTAGGGCATATGCCAGTGGAAACTTTGAGTTATTAGCATCAAAACCTATGGCGACAAGAAGTTTTCCTCGATAAGGTCCTTTCAAAAAGGTACCATCTACACATATGACCGGTTTTAGATAGCGGAAGGCTTGGATGGCAGGCGCAAATGCCCAAAATATATAATCAAAAATAATATTGGAAGGGGTACTCAATGGATGATGATCCCACACAACTACCGTACCCGGATTGGACCTTCGTAACTCCTGAATATACGTGGGCAGCTGTGATATGGATGTCAGCCAATCCCCATATAATATATCAATGGCACGGCGTCTAACATACCAAGCTTTCTTGTAAGACACATCGCAATGAAACTCCTGTTTCACTGATGCTTGAATTTCCTTGATTTTATACACTGGACCATTCATAATATGGGGAATAATATGTTCGGCAATTATGTCGCTACTCAATCCACGGTGGTCATTATTATAACAAACACGGATGCAGGTATGAGCATCAGCAAGTGTGACAATCATCCACATGTTGTGCGAGCTACGCAAGGTTGCACGAAGCTGCCAATGACACGGGGGTACGGAGTTACGAGCCCGACAACGAACATACCAAGTTGTTGGCATGCTCTCACGAACTTTGAACTCCCTATTCTCCTTTATGGACCACAATTTCATAGCTCTTTTGACATGCTCCTTTGTTTTCGAACAGTTGACTTAATTCTAAATCTTTGGTGTGTTTATTCCACAGCTTTAACCTCTCAACTCGCCCAACATCAAGGGGGTCATAATTCAATGCAACGTCAACACCAGCTTCATAACGCAGTTGTGGTCCCTCAATATTTATCCAAGGAGCATTGCGACCCATGTCATCATGGGTCGTAGTTGGAAGATCTGAATACCCATCTTATCGATCGGTATCATGTTAGTGGTTCTCATCATCGAAACCACTAAGATTGGACTCCGGTTCGGAGTCCATGTCAACATCGACAAACTGAATGTCAGTAGATGGTAGAGCATCAAACATCGGAGCTGATTCAATATCCGCACATCGAGTTTGAAATGTTGAGGTGTGCACTATCGGTTAACCACTTGTACTTGAAGGATCATTATTACTCCGCCGACCATTACCTCTTATTCGCCCTCTATGCCTTGGTTGAACATCACCTACATCTAATTGGATCATTTGACTCTCAAAAAGGCCAACTGACTGGAATAAAGATATGTGTTCCGAACTACTATCACCTCGCTCAGGATTAGCACTTACAATTGGGAAAATTTGGGAATCATCCTCTTGTAAATGAAAGGCCTCCTCAATCTCCACATATATTTTGGTTGCAAGTTTACTACCAGATTGTAAGTAGTACAGTCCGGCAACTCCATTCTCATTCACCAAAGGCATTGCACCAAACTTGCCATTTTGGAGGTAACTCCGATATATCAAACTAATCTTATAGCGATTCCGATCTAAACCCAGAATATTGTATATTTTGTCTACCAAATCATCATAACCTACCATCTCTGTAAGGAACAACACTTTTTTCGGTATAGGGGGATCATATGAAATTGACCCTCCTTCGTATATAATTTTTCCTCCCCAATATACTTGAATCACCAAGCAATTATCACTTGACATGTTATACCTATTAGAGACGAGTGCTGATAGCATTTTAAAACCCCATTAATATGCTTATTTGAATAATTAATTAATTGAATCAAATATATATAATTTATAACAAATAAATAAATAATTGCGATTCTATAATTATAAGAAATAATAACAAATAATAAAACAAATAAAAACAAATAAAGTGTAATTAAATAACAACAAATAATAACAAATAGTATAACAAATAACAACAAATAAAGTGTAATTAAATAGCAACAAATAATAACAAATAACAACAAATAATGCATTATAATTAAATCATTAAATCATTTATAACAAATAAATGAATATTTAATAAATAACAAATTAAACCTAATTCATCACCTTAATTAAATGCATTTAATCGAACCTCTTAAAATTAATTCATTCAATTAATTAAACTAATTAATCCACTAAGCTAATTAAACTAATCATATACTAAATAACATAAACTAATTATCAACTAACTTAACAAATAAAGTGAATTGCATTAAACTAATATCACTAGTTTCGAAATTAAGCTATGCTAATTACATTAATTTTATGTATTTATTTTACTAGCATGGGTATTATTTCAAATACTTAAATTGCCTCGACTAAATGGCTATCTTAATCAAAACTCAATACATAAATTCATTCAATTAATTAACCTCACCAAATACATCTAAATTCATTTAATCGTACCTCTTAAAATTAATTCATTCAATTAATTAAACTAATTAATCCACTAAACTAATTAAACTAATCATATACTAAATAACATAAACTAATTATCAACTAACTTGCATAATAGAGTGAATTGCATTAAACTAATAACACTAATGTCATTAATTAAGTTATGCTAAATACATCAATTTTATGTATTGAATTTAATAAATATACCAATTCTTTCAATTACTTAAATAACCCGAACTAATTAACAAGTTTTCATAATCATAATTCAATACTACATAAATTACATCTACATTCATTTAATTAGTCTCTTTAAATTAATCCATTAAACAAATTTAAACAACTAATTAAACTACTTAAACTAATTCTATCGCTAAACTAATTCAACTAAGCATGTACCGTGTTATTAAACTAATATTAGCTAACTTACGTAAAAAGTAAATTACATTATTTGTATACAACTATTCTACAATAAATTAAATATTTATTTAATAACATAATATAACAATAACATAAAATATTTATCACCAATTAACTAACATAATATAAAAATTATAACAACTTTCATATAATACAGATCACTAACCTCTTTCAAACTATTCGTATTTAAAAAATTGATTGCCTTGTTAGCACCATTAGTAGTCAGCACGGCGACCTTAACATAAGTACCGTAATTAATTAGCACGGCAGTATCGCAATTAATTAGCACGACGGTCTTAGCAAAAATGCAATACCAAGAGGCACTCACCAATTCTACCGGCGAACAAGGCAATATCCAAAGACACCAAGGGGGACAAGGCAATAATCACAGACACTCGCGATTCTGGCGGAGTTTCGGCAGAATCAGGCACTTTCGGCTCTGGCGGAACTTTGGCCAATTCTGTAGGTCAGTCAAGTGAATCTATTGAAAGGGAGATAGAGAAGGGAGAGCTTAGAAATAAGGAAATGAGGTGTGGGGTGAAGTTTAGCTCTGGGTTCGTTTATACAGACAGTCCGAAAAACATTTGTTCACGGATGTTGAAGCAAATTCACTTTAGTCACGTGATTGCAGCCTTTTTTTTTTTTGGTCCGTAGCAAGCCACGGGATGCTAAGCTGAGTCGCCAGCTAAGAATTCTTAGCTCGCACACTTATTGGCAGACTTATTGGTCTGACAGCTTTGGGAATTCTGTAGCTCTACCAGCTTTTTAGAAATAATTAGGTCATGTCAGCCCCGCACCTGACATCTTTTTAAAAAATATTCAGTGCTGACACAGCCCGACACCTACCCTCTTTTTTTTTAAAAAAAAATTTTGCTGTCACAGCCCGGCACCCATAGATTTGTATGCACCTTGTGTCAGATCAATAAGTGTCTGACTTTTTTTTTTTAACCTATATTCTAAGTAATTAGCCTATATATAAAGACCATTTTTTTTTGCCAAAAATATACGGACTATATTCAAGCGATCTATTTCTGATGGATCCCATTGCCCTCACTATGACGGTCTTTGGCCATTCATACCATTATTGAGATCCTCTCAATTATTTTTTTTCTCCATTTATCTATCCATTTTTTTAAACATTTATGCAACTAAAAACTTTGCACAATAATCTGTTTGTGTGAATAATTTTATTTCCAAGAGTAGATCAACATGCTTAAAAATCAAACTCATTTATGAATATTATATTATTCAATTTGCACAAAACATTTTGATGCGACAAAATGGGTCAAAATTATGATAAAGGTTTTAAAGTTTGATCCAGTGGTAAAATTTAATCAATTTAGTTTCAATTTTTGTATATACATTAAACAATTAAAAAATATAATATGGATAGCTTTTTTATTTTCAAAAATAGTATTATAATTGTATTTATTTAGATGCAATGGAGAGAAAATCCTTTCCAATTAATGGAGAATAGCCTAACCCTGCTTCAATGACATGTACCCCTGTCAATATCCATGCTGGCTTCTACAAAACTTACCCCAAATGCTATTTTTATTCAGTATCGTGATTTATAGTTTTTTTTTTGGAAGGATCTTGATTTAATTACAAGCTCTGTTTGGATTGCTAAGTTTTTCAAATACTATTTAAAATTTTTAAAAAGTAGTCTAAATTTTTCTTAATGTTTAAAAAATATCCCAAAATATATTCTAAAACTCTTCTACTCTTAAATATCTCAAAATATTTTCTAAAACTATTCCAAAATATATTAAAAAAATTCTGATATAGTAAAATTTTTCAAAAATACCCTAAAAACCAGCTAAAAACTCTTGATTTATAGTTTAGTTCTCCGGATTTCGTGTCACATCAATGCCAATCGTATTTGTTTATTTGACAGCCTATTAAATGGGTGCTTTTGACGTATGCCGGTTACCTAGGCTCATTCACCTCCCATTAGTGTTGTTAAACTTGGACCGGACCGGCCGGTTCCAACGGTCGAACCGCAAACCGGCCATTCATCCGGTTCGAGTTCTTCTAAAAACCCGTCTGTTTAAGGCTCAGTCAAACCCGATCAAAAATCGAATTGAACCGTGAACCGTCAAAACCGGCAAGAACCGAGTTTTTTTAAAAAAATTTGGCTTTTGTTGACTTTTCAGGCTTGCACTAGTTATCCCAAGCCAAATTCCTAATTTGACACCCCGGACTTCACTTCACTCCAGTCCTAAATTTCTAAAATCTCTGTCGCTTTGTTTCCACCTTCTTGCCGCCGCCGATCTTTGTCACCATTGCCTACCGCACATCTGAAATCCCCAAGTAAGTTCCTACTAGAGAGTACAAGCTCTATACACCAATTTCCAGTCTCCTCTCCTACGCTTTGTCCAAAGAGTCCAAACCTGACTCCCTATATATTCTGAATCAATTCCTGCTGTCTTCTCCGGTTCTCTATTTGATCCCCGGCAGAGTTGCAGAAGTTGGGAAGGTTGGTTGAAAAAAAGGGTTGGGGTGATCTTTGTTTAATCAAGTAAGTTAATGTTCTGCAACTGGCTAATTTGGTGCAAACTAAAATGTTCACTTTTTGAAGATAAATTTGCTTGTGCTACATAATGCATCCTTTAAAAGTCAGAATTGCATTATTGGGGTAAATGCTATCTAATTTTGATGTACAGATTCATTGAAGTATAAGAAGAAAGGGAAAAGTGTAAATTTCACATGATCTATTTGTTAAATTTTCAGGCAAAACACGTGCAAGAGCTTTATTGGGGACTTTTTCTTTAATTCTTTTATTTGAATTAATGGATTTCCTTTGTTGCTTTCTATGTGTTTGAGGAAATGTCAAAGTTACTGAAAATTTTGGGATGCACCTCTTTTGGTAACTCCATTATTGTTTCCTGAGATATGCAGAGATCAGGATGGCTACTTTTAGTCTATACTTTTAGTTGGAATTGCAGAAACTAGATAACTACTTTTTTTAAAAAAAAAATTGGCACAAGTAATAGACACTAATTAGATTTTAGACATTGAAGTTAAAAGCTACCTCTTATGTTGCTTGAAAGTTGAAATCAGTGTTCTAGATTGATATTTAGCATTCACTTATCACTTTCTTTTCTTTTTTTTTTTTTGCATTCTTGTTTTTCTTTCTCTCTTTTGGCTTAACTGAGGTAGGACGGAAGGCGACTGCTAAGCCAGCTCAAAGGTTGATTAACCATGTAGAAGACTCTGTTGATTGACTATGCAACTGAAGATGTCATCAAATTATATAAATGTAGCGAGAATGTATTAAACTGACTTTTACTTGTTTGTTTTCTCTTATCTTTATGTATTGCAGCTGAATACATATCAATCTAAGTATAGCTTAGTATGTACTACATAGTCTTCCACAAAATTGCTTAACAATCTTTGGAAGCAAATTAAGGATGTTCAAATTAAACATGTGCAATTTGGTGAATTGGATATGGATTTGGATCACTGGTTCTTGCTTATATTTTGTAAATTTGATTTGCAGGAACAAGATATATATATATATATATATATACACATATATATGACGTATTTATGACGTCATCCGGTTCGACCTCTGAATGACCCCGATTGAATCCATTGACTCCCATTGACCCCTGACCCCTGAACTCGGCCGAGTCGATGTCTGGTCCAAGTCTAAGAACCAAATCATCTAAGTGGGTTCCACGCTGAGCTATTAAACTTCCACTGGTTCTATCCATCATAAGCAACAGAATCCCTCTGTCCATAGTAGAAGCATCCAAACAAAAGGGAAAAGGAGAAAAGAAAAAGATTAATCAATTGGCGGTGTATAGACTTGATTGTACCTACAGCAAAATCCAAAATGTTTACAGTAATGAACTCGTTTGGGACTCTCACTCGAATCAAAACTCTCAGCCCAGGTGAGCCTTCCTTTAGTATAGATTAGGAGTAGGAGTACCTGTCGAGTTGAGCCCTCCTCTAATATATATTAAAAGTAAGAATAGGAGCAGAGATAGAATCTTTTTTTTTCTCTCTCTCTCTCCCATTTCTCCCTCTCCTCTCCTACCCTCTTCCTCTTTCCTCTCCCTCTCCTTCTCCCTTCTCCCCCTCACCTCCCCTCTCCCCCGCCATTTCCTTCCCCGGCCCTTCCCCACCATCCAATTGTGCTAGGAGAGGGGAAAGGGGAGGATGGTCAGGGAAGGGAGGGGGGACGAGATGGGAGGGGAGAGGGGAGAGAGGGAAAGGGAGAGAGAAAGGAGGAAAAGGGAAGGAGAGAGGAAGAGAGGAGTGGGAGAGGAAGAGGGGAAAGGGGAAAGAAAGAAAAAAAAAAAGAGTTGTCGGAGTGGAGGAGATAGTGATGGGTTGAGGTAGGGGAAGAAGAAGAAAGGAAGGAAGAGGATTTTTTTGTGCGTTTTTTAGTATTTTTAAATGTGTAGTTTAAAAATTTGAAGGAATCTTTTGAGATTATTATAGGTAAAGTTATTAAAAAACTTCTAAGAGAAAAACTTGACTAAAAACTCCGCTTCCAAACAGGGCAGACGATTCAATAGAGAGAGAGAAGAAAAACAAAAGTTAATTACACTTGAAGCCTCGTAATAATGGCACGTTGCACTGAACCCACCTAAAATGTTTTCATCAACAATTTTCACCATTGACACAGATTTGGATATGGATATGCATCAAGTGTACAATGGAAATTTTGGAGATAAAAATAAAAGGATAATAAAAAATGACCAATTAAATCATACAAGTGTTTCCACCTTTTAGTTAAGGGTAAAAAACAAAAAAGCCTCTGTGCTAAATCTAACATACAGAAAAGTCTCCCATGGTTTCAAAACATACAATACGACACCCCATATTTTGAACTAAATTGTAAAGGTGACGGAATCCGTTAAACTTAATGGAAATGGACGAAATGACCAAATGTCCTGATATAATTAAGCAAAAGACAGCTAAAAAAAATCATTTGTTTTATTCTCTAAATAGAGAGAATTGAGGGTTAAGGAGTAGAACAAGTATATTTGTTAAAAATTAGGTATAAAATTTTTTTTTAGCTTCCAATAAGTCATTTCTGTTAAGTTTAACGGATTCCGTCACCTTTACAATTTAATTCAAAACATGAGGTGTCATGTTCTACGTTTTGAAACTACGGGGAACTTTTCTGTAGGCGGTAAAAATCTGAAGTCATTCACCTTAAGAAGCTTTGACACGAGGACGAATAGAAGGCTTATGAAATAACTAACTGGACGTCTCCAACAGAATTATTTTCCATTTTCTCATCTTAGACAAAATCCCACCATTTTGGATTAATTGTAACGTTATCAAAGAAAAAAAAGGGTGACCATCTAATAAGGTGTTTCCTAAACTTTTAGGGGATGTCAAAGAAAAAGAAAAAGAGAAAAAGAAAAAGAAGAAGAAGAAAAAGAAGAAGAATGTGTTTCGTTGGTCACACTCCAACGTTGCATCTAAAAGCAGGCATTTCGAAAATCCATCTTGCCTTATCTAAGGGGAAATTTGCATTTTCCAAACTAAATTTTGGCATTGGAGGATTTAAATATCCTAAGCGTATTTGCCAAAACAAGTTTAGTCATTTATCCTTTCAAAGTTGCATCCAAAACAAAAAAAATTAAAGAAAAGAGCCTATTATTGTTGATTTATTAAGGACATTGATCCAATGAAATGGAGCATGTTAGTCTTGAAGGCAAAATACCAACTTAATTGCATTTGTAGTTCCAATGGTTAAGAACTTTAGACTTAATATTTGGTCTATGCACGATAAGCTGGTCTAGCATTTAGTAAAAACAGTTAGTTAGGAGTAGTTAGGAGAATTTATCAGCCAGATGAAAGTATGATTTAGCATCAGTAGATTCTTCTACACAGTTGGATTGAGGACTCGTAACTGGACTCGTAACTTAACAGAATACCACCCATTGAAACAAATGGTCCCTTTAATATTTCATTACAGAACTTGAATAGTGAACCTGGAATCTCAGGGTTATACAATCTGTATAGCATGAGGACAATATTTCTCAGACATGCAACTGGTCGTCTTTGGCAGGAAAAAGATAAACTCTTAATGATCTTAACTGATTGAGGTGGTTGTTATGAAGTTTAGGGTGTTTTTATATCTCACTTACGTGTGTGTGTGTATATATATATATATATATATATATATATTACTAAGAGGTATCTCAGTCTTTTGGCCAGACTAATCTCCTCCTAAAGCTGTGTAAAGCCTTGCTCCAAGAATACACAACGAGAAGAATACACAACGAGATAGCACACTGGAGTCGATCACGGGACTTGCTGGTAACTACCAGGCTACGAAACCAATCCAACTACCTACGGGGCTCTCACTTAAGTATTGACATTCCCCAATTTGTGGTGTGGTTTTGTTCCGAATCACTATCCATTCTTAATTATTGAGAATAGCCCACAATTCAAATCATTTTAAAATTTAAAAACTGTTGAAATACGATCCTGGCACTATGACTCGAAGAACATGAAGGAAGATACCTAGTGCAGTAAACATGAAGGCCACAGAGAAGGACCAAAGTTTTATAGATTCTATGCAAACCATAGGGCTTAAATCTCTTTAAGATATTGAGAATAAGCAACTAAAATTGAAGTATTTACACGAGAGGTTATCTTCACAAAAGCAATCACATGAATCTTGTCTTTTGAATTGCTCAACTATCCAGCTTGATATACTTCTTGCAGCTCAATATCTTTCAGGACATCTCAATTAGACAGCAAAGATATACAATAATTCAGCCATATATCAGCCTTAAAGAAAATTAAAAAAAAAAAAACACACAAACAAAGACAGAGAACAAGAGCAGTCTTGTAATCAATGCTTTGTTTCCTCAGCTGGAATAGGTTCAACTCTCAGTGCCTAATCCGGTTTTTTCTTGCTTCCTAACTTGCCCGCCCTTCCACTAATCAAGAATTTTGAAATCGAGCTCATCTACCAGCTCATTTAACTTCTTTCAATATTTAATTTCCAAAGTCCTTTTCATTTTCCACTTCCAATCAAAAGCCTTCAACACTGGCACATCCCACGTGTTCATCCTAAATACCAGCTTTGGTTTATTGCTCTCCAGTGATGTATTCTTATTCGCATCCCCTGAATCCAAAACTGTATTGGACTCTTCAGTTTGTTGACAATTCATACTTAAAAGTTCCTACATGTCTTTCATCAATCATCATCATATTTTGCAAAACTTGATGATCCTCAACCTCATGGTTTCTGAAACAGCTGATTCCTAGTATATACTACAAGCTGAAAGCGGAGATTCATAACAACAACATTCTATCTATAGCTTCATCACTGACTAGCACCAATGACTCTCCAGAACCCTTATCATCAGAGTTCTAAGCACAGCTACAAAAGGTATAGCGTTGATCCTCTTTCAAAATCTCTTTAGCGCATAATGCCGAAACAATATGATTACTGTTTCCAGATTCAGCTTTCCACATGAACAATCTCAACCAAGTATCCCCACAAGAAATTGAAAGGCGAAGCTCTAAACTTTGGATACCTCTTGAAGACTTCAGCTTGACTTAGCACAACTAAAGAAAATCCAACAGCATCAGGATCACAAGACTCTGACTTCGTTCGATTTGAGCAATTGATGAAAACAATTAATAGCTTAGCCTCTTAGACTAAAGTGACAAGTACACTTACAATGAATTAGTATGTACCATCAGAGAATAACACATGAAGTGGTCAGTATAATACATAAATGCCCTTGTATATTTATTTCAATTGGGATTTAAGCATATACAACGCTATCACTGTGACCATCTATGACCATTTAAAGACAATTTACTTAAATAGGAAAAATAGACTTCAAAATTAAGTTGAACTAGAGCAGATAACAGAAAGCTACTGTACTATAGCTCTTCTTCGGGATTATATACAAAATTGATTGACCCCATATTTCAAACAAGTACTCTTATATACCATCTACAAAGCTCTTAATACTTTTTCTTCATCCATATATCCAACTTAATACCATTGAAAAAATAAGGCAAAGGATTATCTATATTGACACTTCGGAACAGAATTGCAAAGAAGCTAAACAGTTGAAGAATGAATTTATCAACCATTATTTGGTAAGCAAAATAATCTGTCACTAGACAGCCCAACCAACTATGGAGAACAACAGCCAAAATTTGACTATCTGCGGCTGCTCATGGAACCTTTTGGGATTCTGTACTTATATGCTGAGATTAAATCTTATGGGCAACAAGAATAAACTCTTAGCCCTCTAGCATATGTTATACAAAGGGATAAAGAAGTTCAAACAGCATAAAGTGAGAGTTTATAAGTTGCAAATCGTTCATGACTAATAGCTAAGAATTACAATACAAAACTAACTTTACTTTGTTCCATAATTGATCAAAATACTAGATATACATAGGCCTAGCCACATGGGGTTATAAACATCAACATCTGATCGTTCACAGGAAGTACACAACTGAAAGCCATCTAAAGGCAGAAACATTGAACAGGGGAGACAATGATTTTAAAGGAGAAAATGGCTTCAACATCTATCTATTTATATAAGTTACAAATTTTATCTCCTCTGCTCATTTGAGCATCTAGAAGAACCATTTTCCTGCACAAATTAAATAAGCATGATCTTACAGTTTTTTGAGCACTTTGAGAACTTATTTAACTTCTCGCGAGCTGATGAGGACCAATTTTCTGGCATTTCTGTCGTGGCAACATGTATAGACATCTTCTGTAAGACTGCTCCATGCTTCAGAAGATATCTTACTAAATCAAACCCATAATTTGGGATAATAAAGAAACTCTTTATCTCTACTTCCCTGAGATATTGATTCAGACACAGTGGTCTCTCTTTCGCGCTGAAGTGGAGGTGCATATCATCATACATCTTGAGTGGACTCTGATTTAAAAATAAAAAAAGGCAAGAATAAGATGAACAAGTAAAACACTTGCCAATCAGTTCACTGATTTTGGTCTCTTAAGCAGTCTAAAAAAGGAAGAGCTTACATCCATTTCCTTTCTAAGAATTTTAGGGCAACTCCTAACTCACCAGGTAACAGACTAGCACTTTCAGATTTGGTGTGCTCTTCAGTAGAGTCTCAAAGTATTTCGAATAGAGATCCCGCGTTGTTGAAAGCTCCAAACGAGTCAAATTTATAAATTCAGGTAACAGATGACCTGCCTGATAGAGACACTTCACATCATGGGAAAAGCAAAGTCATTACGATGCTTAGAAACTACATACTTTGAAACATATGAAATCCTGGAAAAGCAAGTGAAATGAAGACATTCAAAGTCAAAGAACTACCTGTAAAGAGTCCCCAAATAAACCAAAAAATTCCAAATTGCGCATTTCACTAATAAATTGACAAAACTGGTTAGCGTCATGCTCATGTGGCATGTTCTTATTTTCCAAAGCCAGAATAGCTTTTAACAAGAACTTGAACTTGCAATTTGAGCTCAATAGCGGATATAGATCACCTGCATACTCCAAATACTCAAGATTTGGGCTATTAAGAACAACCTTGCCACCCAACGAGCCCTGACCCCACGCCAACCTTGTTAAGGAAGGACTACTGAAATCAATTAATCCAACATCAAATAATTCTACACCATCAATCACCAAATCATCAAGCAATGGACAGCTTGATGAAAGTAGCCAACCTGTATTATCTCCCAGTAGTGTCAAAGTATGCAAATGCAAGACCTTAAGATTCGGCAAGCAGAGGCCTTTTGGAAGCTTTAGACCAAGCCAACCATGTAATTTCAAGACTACAAGAGTTTTACAAGTAAAGATTTCAGATGGAAAGACTTCAAACTGCGGAAAATTAGTATAACCATCAACTAGGATGTTAAGAACCTGAACACCGCGCGGAAGCACCAAAGACATCCATAAGCTAAGCCCAAACTTTTGGCAAGAAGCCGACTTTCGACATATAAGACAAAACTCATTCACAACAGAAGTTGATTCACAATTCATAAGTAGTCTGTTAACAAACTCCATAAACTTCTCCGATTCCACTACCTTCTCATCATTGACATCGTTGCCTGCTCCTTGTTGATGAGGATGGATAAGCAGAGTATCGTCAACGTCAAGGTCAATTTTGGGAACACCAAAGAAAATGTACCTCCATCTGGTGGACAAAATGGAAGTGGAGGCTGCAAATTTTGTGGGAAGAAACGAGAGAATGTGGCAGAGGATGCCATCCGCAAGGCACTGAGTCGATCTTCTTGACAATCATCATCTGGGCTCTCTCTTGAAAGCTTGGCCGTCTTGGGTTTTGGCTCCATAGCTGCTTTTTCAGATTGGTTTTGATCGTTTTGGGGAAAAAAGCTAGCTTTAAAGCATTTGGGCGAGGGAGGCTGAATTTTAGTCGAGTTCCCCAATTTGGCTATTAATTTACTTTTGCCACTAAGGAAAAAGAAATGGGAAAATGCAAATGAAATAAGAAAGTGGGGAGAAAAACAGATTAAATCATATAATCTGTGGGACCTCTCTTGTAAATTATCTCTCCATTTATCACAATACATATTTGGATGCATGATATATATCTTTATTTATTAACAAGAGTGAGAATTAGTTAAATTTAAAATGATCTTATCATTTCCTAACAAATGAATACATATGTCATGTAATTCATTTAGATTTGCATCGTGGGTGGGAGATGCAGAGAGAATTCATTCAAGAGAAACCAAATCCATAATTTGTGACCTTTTTTATTTTTATTTTTTCATATGTAATTGTGTACCAAAAAAAGCTTAGTCGTTAGGTTTGAAAGACAAACTAAACTATCCCAACTAATCAAATTAAATTTGAACAGCAGTTTTGTGTTTGATAATTGATACACTTTTAAGTTCAGCTCGAATTTGGCTTAATTAACTCATAAGTGAAATTCATATGTAAAAAGTTCAAGCTAGTGCAATTCGACTCATGTTGGCCCAATAAAAGTTCTCCTCGAGTTGACTCAAGAAGTAAACAAGACAAATTTGAATAAAATTTCAAACTCGTCAAAATAAACAAATAAACTTAAATATTAGAATATTCGACTTATTTAGACATGTTTACGCCTCTACCAGCCATCAAATTTTGTATGTGCATACACCTATATTAACTAAAGTCGCACTTTTTTGTTCATTGAGGTGCACTTTTGTATTTAATAAAGTACACACTGTAACTAGTGTAATTTAGACATTTAATAATAAATTTAATAATTATTTTTTATTCTTGAATTATAACTCATAATTTATTCACAAATTTTCCACATCTCACCCTTCTTATGAATTTTGAATCTCTCAAGAAGGGCGCTAGCAGTCCGCCACCTCTAATTCCCAGGGACTAAATTCAAGGAGTTTAATTCTACACCAATTTATAAATTCTATATAGTTTCCTTTTTCTTTTGGATTAATCTTTCCTACACTGACAGTGTATACATTATCAGCGTTGGATGAATGATAACTATGTAAAATTTAAATTTAAAATTCAACTTTTGCACATATATCATGAATTCAACGATGATAGTGTATATGCTGTCAGTGTATTTAAGATTTTCTCTTTTCTTTTATGTCAATGTTCCAGTTTTTACTCTTATGTACAAACTGCCATGTGTTTGCAATCTGCACTTCTATTTGGGCTAACAAGTTTGCAATCAATAATATTTCATTGTTGCCTAGCCTTGACAAAGTGGGACAAAAGACATATCTTGTCTTCATGAAGGGGAAATTTGCATTTTCCCCCTAATTTTTGCCTCGTCTCATATAATTTCCTATGTTTACTTGCCAAAACTGTATTAAGCAGAGTTCAACCTTTTAGTGTTTTCTTCAAAAGAAAGAACCAAGATAGGCTTAATAGTTGTCCCAGAATACGTCAAGTTTAGAATTAATAATTAGTCTATCTAGGATACGATAGCCTAAACTTTAGTAAATAAATAGCTATTTCAAAAATTGCGTCAGGAGTATTTATCAGGTGGAGCAGGCCTTAATCTAGGGATTAAAGCTAAAATCTCGCAATTTAAAGGCTTTTAGTTCCAATTCCCATTCCCCCTCCCTATTTTCTTAAATACCACCCTTCCTCTATTAAAAATAACACAAAGAATCTTGACTAGTTTTCAACGTGCTCGCACTATTGGATTGAGGACTCACACCCTTAAACACTTCATGCAAGAACTTGAATAGTGAACCAGAAATCTGAGTGATGTACAATTAAAATAAGGACAATATTTCTCAGGTATGCATCTGTTATATTTCTCAGTTTCATTGGCAGGAAAACAAAGTGAGTTTTTTAACAGTCTTCAACTAATCCAGGCAGCTGTTGAGAAGTTTAGGGTGTCAATGTAATGCCAAATGAACAATTCACCTTTCGGTGATAAGATTTGTTCTTCGCCAATATCAACACTTAATTGTCTTTTTGTGATTCAGATTGTTTCTTGATCGTAAACCTGTTGAAATATATTTCTACAACCACCATGCAAATAGCACTTGTGTTCTTGTAAAAGCTTTCATCAGCAGGAATTACTTGGAAAAAGATTTCATCATTATCAATCTATCATGAGGACATTTAACCTTTCAGAGCAGATCCCTTAAACCATGTCAGAACAGAATTGGCAAGTTCATGTACTGAGTTATGATTGTCAAGACAATGAATTAAGTTTGTCTATATAACTGGAATCTGTGCATCAACAAACTATAATGCTTACTCTTATATAGCCCCTATATAGCAAATGAATATGCTTCACGACAATCTATAACATATTGAAAATAAGCAAGTCATATTCATGAAGTATTTACATGAGAAGTTGTCTTCACAAAACCTAACCTTCCAAGTGAGTTACGGACAGCAAACACCTCCAGCAACTAAGCCAAATGGCAGCTCTCAAAGAAAAAAATTTTTTTTTTTAAAAAGGAAATTAATCTTGTAATTAATTCTTTGTTTCCTCATGTGGAATAGGTCCAAATCTCCTTGCTTGATCCCTTTTGCCTACTATTGAAGAATGTCAAAAGATGAGTTCATCTCCCTGCTTATGTAACTTCTTTTCTTCTCAAACAACTTCCTCACAGCTTCATTAAACACCTTCTCTTTTTCCCCTTCCCCATCAAAAGTCTTCACCACCCAATCCCAGCTTTCCTCCACCTTCTTATTCTCCTCTTCAATCCTCTCTATCACCACCAGAGTTACCCCCTTCATTGTACATCCTGACAGCTTCAACTCAGGCACATCCCAAACCTTCATGCGAAAAAATGGCGTTGATTTGTCACTCTCCACTAAAGTCTTCTTAATCCAATCCCTAGAATTCATACCTCTTTTGAACTCTTCAATTTGTCTGCGATTCATACTAAAAGTTCCTATCTGTTTTTCATCCGAAATTGTCACATTCTGCAAAGTCTGATGATCCTTCAACGTCTCGCGAAACAATAGGCGCCTCGCAGATGCTACAACCAAGCAAGCCAAGATCATTGTCAGCCTTTTATCGAACTCCTCATCTTTCATGAACATTGATGATTCTCCTGAATCCCCACTATCAGAATTCTTATCAAAGCTACAAAGTTCGTAGCTTTCATCAAATTCTGAAGTATCTTTGGCGTGTAATGCCAGAATATAATCAAGTTTGCTCCCAAACTCAGCTTTCCATATCATTGAACTCAAACAACTATCACTTGTAGGATTTGGGAGGTTAAGCTGTAAATTACGAATAGCTCTGAAACACTTTAAAGCTTCTTTTGGCATGCAAAAACTATATTCATCAGCAGATTCACAAGATTCTGACCTTGATTTAGGCAATCGAGTGAAATATTTGAAGGGCTTCGCAATAGCTTTAGTGAAAATGTTCTTGAATGATTTCTTACCCTCATGGAGTGTTTCTGTGATGGTCTTTTGCTTGCTTTGCTTGTTTTGGTTATGTTCTGCACGCATCGAAAGGAAAACATTGTCAACTTCGGGGATGATTGCGTGAAAGCGTTTGCAAACAGACATGGACAAACACAGAGATTTTGCATCATGCACCTTGTTGAAAATCAGAAACACAATAGGGTCTGGTAATTCATCAAAAAAATCATCTTTTTCTTCTTCTTGAGCAGTGCAGAAAGAAGCCATTCTTGTCCTGTTATTGTAGGAATATAACCCACAGGATAAACAAATCAAGACAAATCTCAAAACCAAAGAAACAATTATGGCAGGGGAAAATATAAACAACCAGAACGGCACAAGGAAGAAAGAAAGGAAGCAAGGAAAGCTTCGGGAGGCAACAACCAATTTTTTATCTTTTCAATTCTCAGCGCACGAAACATCAATACTAGTAGTGGTATATATAGATCAGTTAGTTTCCTAAAACTTAGCTTTCGAACCACAAAGGGAATCTTTAATACAATTGGACCTGGACTTAAAAACCACTACCGACATAATTAAGAGATCAGAACCAACAATATGGAAACTAACAAATAATAATAATGATCTTGATTTAATTCCTACAGTTCTGTGTTTTTCGCTTTCTTTCCCCTGTTTCTTGAATTCTTGATTCACTGGAGGAAACTGAAAGCGGTTTCTTGAATTTCTTATTGGTTTGAGGAAAATGAAAACTTATTGTTAGATAAATTTATGAAAATACTCTACTACTTCCTGAATTCTCTGATATTTCTGACCGGAGGAAACTGAAAACGCGATGGGTATTTTTGGATGGATACTTTGGTAGGAAGAAAAGTAAGAAGAGGAAAGGCCATTTGATGGTTTTGGAAGGCGTCAATATGGTTGATTTTGGAAAGCTGGAACCGACCGGGAAAGATCCTACATTTGGCCGGTGATAATTGCGAAACAATTTTGGTTAATCAAAGGTGTAGAGTTTCGAGATGAGCATTCTTAAGTGGAACTTTACTCTTAGTTGCATTTTATTCTTGGGATTTATTAAAGGGTTAATCACATTTTATCCCCTTAAAGAATACCCCATTTCTGAGTTTACTCCCTAACCTTTAATTTTGCTCACTTAACCCCCTTTAGGACAAAATTGCCCATGCATTATTTTGACTTTTCATTTAACTTGTTTTCCTTTCTTTTATTTCTTTTTCTCTTTCTTTTTTATTTTATTCTCCCTCTTTCCCACAAAAATCTTCATCTTAATGATTGAAATTAAAAAAGAGAAATTGCAGAGATCTATCTTCTCCTTAAATGATAAAAAAATATTCAAATCACATTCCTAAAATACAATTTTTTTAGCCTTTCAATTCTTTTAATTTTGGGTATTCCTCTTTCCTTTTTAGTTTCTCATTTTATTCTCAAAAAAATATCATAAGATGAAATTATTTTCCTTTCTTTTATTTCTTTTTCTCTTTCTTCTCTCTTTCATCCTTCCCAATTGAAATTCTATTTTAACGAAAATTTTTGTTTTGAGTTTGTAATTGCATATTTCTGGGTGAAGGTTTAAAAGGCATCAAAAACTAATTTTGATTTTTTGTATGATGCCATGTGTCACAAATTTCAATTGATGATTATTAATCAGGTCACAATTTCATCTTAAGGTATTTTCTTGGGAATAAAATGAGAAACTAAAAAGGAAAGAGGAAAACCCAAAATTAAAAGAATTGAAACGCTAAAAAAATTGTATTTTAGGAAATTGATTTGAATATTTTTTAATCATTTGAAGAGAAGATAGATCTCTGCAATTCCTCTTTTCTAATTTCAATCATTAAGGTGAAGATTTTTGTGGGAAAGATGAAGAATTAAATAAAGAAGAAAGAGAAAAAAAAATAAAAGAAAGGAAAACAAGGCAAATGAAAAGTCAAAATAATGCAAGGGCAATTTTGTCCTAAAGGGGGTTAAGTGAGCAAAATTAAAGGTTATGGGGTAAACTGAGAAATGGGGTATTCTTTAAGGGGATAAAATGTGATTAACCCTTTATTAAATTGACACTTTGTCTCCCTACTTGATATTTAGGGACAAAAGTGTCCGATCCATAAATTGTGAAAAACCATGAACTAATATACTAGTTGCACTTTATACCCTTAGTCAACTAACAAAATTGAAAAAATTAACTCCATCCAAGTATTTGATGAAATGATTAATTCGTCCTCTATTAAAAGCTTAAGTGACAAAAAAACCCTTTTGATGGGAAAAACTTATCACTTTAAAATAGACTACTTTTCATTCATAAGAAAAGCCTAACAGAAAATATAAAAAAATAAAATAAAATACGGGTTCACTTTGAATGATAATTAAGACTCTTGGGGGTCAAACGTAAAAGGGCAGAATACAAAAAAAAAAAAACTAAGGGCTACTATTGCAATTTCTACAATCTCGTTATCTTCTTCTTTGGTACATCATAACGTCATAGAATTCCACTTGAAATCTTTACAAGTATTTAAACGGAATAAAACACAAAAATTTCATATGAATTTAGCACCATAATAGCAACAAGGTTCAATAGTAGACCTAAATTAAATCGCTGATGTTAGCAAACAAAATATTGGACTTAGAAGAGAGGGATTAGTAGTAAGGTGGAAGAGATTATAAGTAAGAGATTTTGGATTCAATACCTACCACTTACATTATATATATATACACACACACACATATATATAAAACTTAGAAATTTCAATAAAAATTTAAAATTTCACTTAGTGCATACAAAGAGAAACCAAAAGTATAGGTCACAATTACAGGAATAAATAAGATTTTACAATAATGTCTTTTCCATGATAGTAATCTTTTGAATTGAAGCCAATTTATTCACTTTCTTCTTTCCTTTTTTTCTTCTACTTGTTTTGTTTTAATTATTGTTGCAAGTGACCTTGTGTTTTATTTTTATGTGTTTTCAATTAGCTTTTTTATGAAGTGAAAATTAATCTATTTAAAGTAGTAATATTGCCCATCAAAAGGGTATTTTTGCCATTTAAACTTTTAATGGAGGAAAAATTGGTCATTTCATCAATTATTTGAATGGAGTTAATTTTTCATCATTTTTTAGTTGACCAAAGGTATAAATTGCCTATTAAAATACTTTAGGGTGTCAAGTACGTGCAATTGGGATGATAGTTCATAAGGGAGTTCTGCATTTAACCCTTTTTTTCTATTTGGTGCCCAATTGGGATGATTGTTTGTAGGGGATTTTTGCATTTAACCCCTTTTTCTATTTGGTGCTCTTAGGCACCATATAAGCACATTGAAAAAAATGGAAATTAGATCAAATATAATGTTTTCAATTATCTTTTGCCTCTTCAGTTTATGTGTGATATACTAATATACGTACATACATACATATGCATATATATATTAATTGAATGTAATTTTTTTCAACTGAAATGGAATCGAGTATTAGTACTTAGAAATAAACAAAATGGACAAGGATTCCACTATATATGGTATAATCTTTCAAGTTTCAACCTTCATAAAACCTTATTGATCCTAGGCAAACATTTTATGGGATTTAGACTTCTTAATTTTACTAGTTTTTGGCTGCCACACATTGGCGCGGCAATGCCCAGGTGTAAGCTTAACATACATAATTTTAGGTTTCTATATATAATCCAATACACATAATTTTCTAATATGGAAATTCATGTACAAATGGTGCAAATATTCATCTACAATGGTGATACATCTGTCATTGAATCCAGAATGTCTAAATTCCATTATATGTTTAGCTAAGACTTAACACAATTTACTCGAATAAATATAATTACACGGGAGCATAATTAATTGAATTAGGTCTCTTATATCTTAACATAAAGAAACAAAAAATTGCCAAGTTTAAATATACCATGCTTTGCATGCCCAAGTTATCAATAGGTCAACATGTAGGGTGATCAAAGACGGGACTGATAGAAACAACTGAAAAGCTACCATAATGATAGGTAGGAACTGTAGAGGTGTGATTTCCATTCGCAAAACTAACATCGTTGAGGACACCAAGATAGTCTATGGAGGAATTAACATTAGTTGATTACACTTTGCTCATTGGTTGGCGTACGTTAAATGCAATCATGGCCATAGTACATAAACTTGGAATTGTTTCGGTATCATGATTTGCATTTGATGCAACTCGCTGCTCACACCGTTTTCTATTCCTCTCCACATAGTCCTCTTCTAGGCTTGCATATTTTCGCTGCTATATAAATCAGATTTGAACAGAATGTCCATCATACAGCCATATATCAACAAACAATCAATTACCCAACTTAAAGATTAGCCAAAACACTTGGAGATTTGGATATACAAAAGTAAAGAAATAGAAAATGCATACAAAGGTCACCTTCTGGTTTAGAGAAATAAGTCCAACTGCTTCTCTTGCACCTAAATGCAATTATAGTTCAATCAAATTATATCCAAAAATAGTGACCCAACTACCAAAGAAAAATAGGGGAAAAAAAGATAAAACTTCAAGCGATTCTGTAGTTTTCTCGGTTAAATTATCAACTTTTCAATGTCACCATTTATACTTTTTGTGCCACCTATTACATCCACAATTCCCTCTTATATAGAGCAAGCTTCATGTGGCGTAAAAGATGCTTGGATGTAATTCTTAACACAATGTTTTTTCCCAGTAGGTGCTCAAATTTCTATCTGAATAGCTAGATAACATGTATTACATTAACTTCAAGCTTTAACCCAACTGGAACTTAGTAAATGAAATTTTAAGTAAAATGTTAGAAAAGAGACCATACATTAAAAATTTTAGTTGGAAACAAAATACTCACTGATAAGTCAGAAGTAGTGAATGACTCAAGTCTTTTCACAAACAAAAAAGGAATCAGGTTTCTCTTCAAAATCACCTACATGATTTCAAACTAAACTTTTCTATGTGCTAAATGATCTAAAGCAGATAAAAGATCCACTATTAGCTGTATTTCTACACAATGCACAAGCTGCTAATTTCACTTGGAATTGTGCTGTTGCATCTAACCTGTGAGCTTAAATTTTGTTCTCTTTATTCATGTTCTACTATTATGAAAGAGCCAGTCTTATACAAAACATGGTAGATTTACCAAATTGTAAGATACTATCTATATTGACCAATTATTATTAGATGAAATCAATCTCTAAACAGATATTTCAAATCTATGCATCTGATCCATATTAAGGCATTTAAGAACTATTGACTTATAAGATTGCAATTTCCAGTCTACATTCTTTCCAGATAGGCAGATCATATTCAAAGAACCCAGATGCTAAAAGTAGGTAATAAACAAAATGCTTAACAAATCAATGGGGGTAGTCTGCTACCAACAAGTAAAAAGCAATATTTAGAGGGAGACACACCACTGATTCGGACCGTAAACGAAGCATGCATTGATGGAATTACATTAAATCAATCAAAACATGAAGCAACTTCTCTATTCGAGATTTACTATAAACACATATTTGTGAAGTGTGAATGTAATCAATCGTACATGTAAATTCAAACATACAAATAAACAAAACTCATGGCTGGAGGTGAAGCAAAAATCAAGAGTCTAACATTCTCACCGCAGATGTTAAATGTCCGTGTAAATCTCCAGAAGCTGTAGTTCACACAACTATTCTTTCGCTTGGCTAATTTGATAAGCAAGCTATCTCAATAAATCCACGTAAAGATTGTCAACATTCAGATTATGAGATTATTAATTTACTTAAAATTTTGTCAATAAATCAAGGAAAAACTTACATAGAAATGCAAGAAGAAAGTGAGGTAGGTTGAAGTTAATCGGGAGGGTGCCGGTAGTAGAAGGCCAAGTAAGGAGGAGGGTTGCAGGTACTGGGAGAGTGAAGTTTTGGGAAGGTAGTGGCAGAGTTGAAGTGGAAATGGAAGTAGAAGTGGAAGC